GGTTATCCTCCCTCTGCTTTTGGCACCATTTCAGTCCCGGCGTCATTGCATGTGTCAGGAAGTCTCACCTGTTAACCTATGCCTGCCACTTATGGGAACTTGAGTCCACTATAGGACTTAGCTGATATTGCAGCTCACCCCTTGCAATCGCTACCACCTCTCTATCCTACACGAGTATAATTATTGCAGACAGCACGCATCGCTTAAGGCTGTGATTTGCTGCACTTGTATGTCATAACAGCGATTTCATACCAATCCGACTGGCAGTTGCTATTCCCAGCCACATCATTTTTGAGTAGTATATTTGGCACAGAAGTGTGCTTATTTTTATATACTTAGCATATTTGTGATAGATTTCATTTGATCCTTCCTAGGATATCGATTTATTAGGCATCATTTATCTAGATTTATGACTTTCCTGTTTAGGATTTAGGTATTTTTTGTATATATTATTTTTATTTTTTTTCCTTTTTGTTTTTTTTTACACATATTGTTTGTCTACAGCATATTGGGTATTTGCCATTTGGCAATTTTTAACATTCTTGTATCAATAAAGTATTTATTTTTTGTATTAGATATTGAGATTCTTCTTTATCTGTATTGATTACTTGTACCTGTATATTTGTTATTTATCTCAGCTCCACTAATTTGGTATACTACTTCTCTCTCTATATGTGCATCATAACATCTTTAACATTCACTATCCAGAGCAGGATCGAACCTGCAACAAATCTGTTTGGTTATATGCCAAAAAATATATAATATTCCTGTGTTTTACTGGGCAAGGAGCAGTGATATATTCGGTCACAGATTTTCTCCCACTGTTGTATTTAAAGTGGTATTTAAGATCACCTCCCAAAGGTCAGAAAATGCTGGGTTGCTTTGGGGTGAAATATATAGAAAAGATACTAGAGGGTCAACCCCAATATACAGTTCTTCAAAGTTTAGCAATTCCAGTTTGAGGCATGGGTGTTGTGTCCCCCCTCCCCCTGTATAAAGGCGGTAATCTGTCTGTACCTAAACTGCTGCATAAAGGCAGTGGTTATTTCCTGTACCAAGGTATGTATCAGAATCAGGCCCCCTTGCTCGAGCATGTAATGCACCTGAAATACAGCCTGTGAGAAAAATCTCTTGAGAATCTTAGTGGTTACAGCCCAAGAGGGAAGGAATGGTTTTAAGCTAATAGAGTTAAAAGTTAAGGAGAAGAAGATAATTCCATGGGTTGTGCCAAGGAGTGCCAAACAGATAAAACCTAAGCCTGGTAATATAGTATTACATTCAGCACTGCCAGACCTCCCTTTGTCTTTGGCAAATTATCTCAATTCCTCAACCTTCTATAAAGTTCAAATATGAAATCCCTAAAAACATAAAAACAAACAATTGAGTATATAATAGATAGAAACATACATGACTAGAGTCACGGAAGAAGGATAACCGCATGATACGCAAAATAGAATACAAATAAAATAAGCCTTTCCTGCTCTGGTATGGCAGCAGGAGATCCAGAGCCAGGGAAGTAAAGCTCCAGGGGGTACAGCTATTTTATGAAATCCAGATTTCCTCTCCTTTCCCTATTATCTAAGTAAATGCAAGGATATGCCAGAGAGGTAATCAGTATGGTGGGAGAGTGTGTCCGCTGTCAGGTTGTGTGCTGCCTAAAGTGGCTTTCATGTGTCCTCAATGCAGCCCACGTGATCAGTAAGCACTTGTAGGTCTTTCCGTAGGAGCCTTATATCAGCCTTAATTGAGGCCAGACATGGGGGTAGATTAGAGGTCTCTTATGCCATCTGAGGCCTCCACTGGTGTTGGCTGGGTCTCAAAGTCTGCGAGCTCAAGAGAAATTGCAGGAGCGATGGGATAGCATCAGCATGCCTCTGGGAACACAACCGTATATGAGTCTTCTCCGTAATCGAAGTCATGCAGGTATTTCACTCATTAAAAACATGAGGTGATTGAGGAGAGATGGATTATCCATATGCCATATTGGCCAAATTCCCCAAGAGCCAAACCATACCCCACAAGGTGCTATTTGTTATTTGAATAAATATCTGAATCCTTTTATAACTTTAGCGTATTTTACTCTTTTGGAGGAATTGTGAAATCCTGGTTCCAGTGTGTTGGGGATTTTTAGGAACAACAACAAAGTGAAAGACCAGCCATAATCTCAAAGCGGATGCACGTAACATGGAAAAATCATCTATCATTTGCGCCATCACCCGCTGCAGAGTTCCAAACTGCCTCTGGAAGCAATATAGGCACACAAACTGTGTGTCAGGAACTTCATGACATGGTTTCCATGGGCAAGCAGCAGTACACAAGCCATCAATATGCAGAATGAGAAGCAGTCGTGGTATGAAGTGTGCACAATTGGACTCTGAAAAAGTGTAAATGTGGAGTGATGAATCATGCTAGCCTTTGTGGTAGATGGAAAAATCTGGATGTGGGGGATGGGAGAAGAATGCTACTAAATTCTCCTAATTTTTCTTTTCTGTATGTAATTTTGAAATGTTTTGTAGAGATTCAGAAGGACAAGAGCTCTAATATGGAAATGCTTTTCTCACCAAGGTGACAACACATCTCTGAAGTATAAATAAAGGTAAATTAGGCTTTAATTAGTATTGTAAAGGATCACCTGGCACCCCGACTGGGTACCTCCGTTGATGGATGCTCCTAGCGCTTCTTGAGGGCTCCAAGCACTCTAGTCGACACCACAACCACCGCAGGCAGAACCTCTCTTCCTTCCGAGCGAAGCAGGAACAAGCTCTTAAAAGAGCTTAGGAGTGATTATAGCAAGGGAATATGCAGAGCATAGCAATCCCTTGTAGCAGATTCCCCCCAATAAGAGACAGGACTCCAAATTGAGGGTGAAGTAGAACCTGGCTGTACTGGCACATAGAGCCTCTTTTATTCACAATCCACAAACATAGCACCGCCCACAGGGTTTTGAAACACAGCCAATCAATCCGTACAATAAACACAGACACTCCCACACAAAATCCTCCCCTCTGCCTGTGATATGATTACTGAACAGAATGGTTAATCTAATTATCACAGGCAGAGAAATACAGCACCATAAAACATATCACAGGAACCCCAAAACATGCAACAACCCCACATATCCAAAATTCACCCAGATCCGTTCAGTACTTTGGAACCGTCGAGATGGCACCGTGTTGAAAAGTCCAAACAGTGTCTGTGAGTTAAAATGGCCGCCATCCATTGTTCTCACCATGTGCTTCATCCATTGTTCTCACCAGGTGCCTCTGATACAGGAAATGGTGGCCACCCAGTAACTCCACAGTATGTCCCCAGATGGTTCTTAAAGGGCCAGCAGCAGCACAACACAAATCCATTATGCCCAAATCATGTCTTTAAAGGGCAATACATCCCAGGGGCCATAGTCACACGGCAGGAGGCTGGCAACCAGGCTTCTCCAGTGCATAGTGGCGAGGTTGGTTCCGCCAGAAGTATATTTCATTTTATATTACTTTGCAATACAAAACATAATTTAAAACAACAATACATAATTTCCATTGTGAAAATGGTCAATTTCCTTTACTTTTTGTCTACTTTTAGAGAAACTGTAAATTATTTACTGACATCTAACATGGGTTCTTGAACATGATAGTGTAAATTATTGACTATTTTTGACAAAAAAAATTGAAAAAGTTTTTACGTAATCACTGTATTTTATTCCTACATGTCTAGCACTGAAAGATACATCTACATGGCAGCACATAAGAAATTGAGATTTAGACCATTAAGCCACCAAGGTTATTTCACACTGAACAAAGTTCTGCGGCTCTAGGTTTTTAAAGAAAAATGAATAGAAGGCTATATATTTTGATATCTAAAGGGAAATACAAGTCTTTAACTCAGAGTTAAATGATACACTAGCTAACATTAGGCTAGTAAACATTGAACAGCGTGGGAACTAAAATTTATAATAAATATGTATTGCTTATGGGTCACACAAAATTACACTCAAATATTTACTCTGGCTGAGCTGTTTTATATAAATTTGTATTTGTAATGCTCACATTATAGATCTAAACGGAAATAAATCTTCACTTTGATGGTAATGAGAGCACGCTGAATTCATATTTTGAAAGCCTATATTTAAGCACACATTAACACAATGGTCAATGAGCACTTTCCATTAGAGAATACTTGACTGGGCAAGCTCCAGATTATGGTTGAAAAGGTAGTTACTGAAGCAGACAATTCAGTTTCCATGGCAATATCTTCCAATATATGCAAATAAAGTTTGGTTGCCAATACTAAAATGAAAATGTATCAATGATTCGTTAAGCCTTGTTGGATAGTTTTCCATTGAAAACCATATATTTCCTCATACCTGAAAAAACAATATTACTAGTTATTCCAGTTGCAGGAGAGGAATGAGTTAGGAACTATTAACAGTTTAATTGATACGCTTTTGTGAAGAAGTAAGTTTTTAATGATTTTTTTAAATGAGTGAAGACTGGGTGAGTGTCTAACGGAGAAGGGAGTTCCACAGCCCTATAGAAGTCTTGAAGGCGAGCATCAGAGGTGGACATACAAACATATAGAAATGACTTTTGCAGAGTGTAGGGGCCAGTGGCGTACACACAATCCATGGGGCCCCGATGCGAAACTGATCCATGAGCCCCCCTCTCCTTCCCTCCCTCTCCCTCACCCTCTTCGTCCCCTGCCCCCGACAGACACACAAACACATACATACAGAGGCACAGACCTACAGAGGTCACCCTCCTGTACCTAAAAGGTAGAAAACTAGGAGGGTGACTTAAACATTTTGTATATGTGTGTTTGTTTGTATGTATGTATGTGTCTGTCTATATGTGTGTGTGTGTCTGTCTGTGTGTATGTATGTTTGTGTGTGTCTGTCTGTGTCTCTATGTATGTATGTGTCTTTATGTACGTGTGTATATGTCTGTGTGTATGTATGTGTCTCTGTAGGTCTGTGCCTGTATGTGTGTGTATGTGTCTGTCTGTGTCTCTATGTATGTATGTGTCTTTATGTACATGTGTATGTCTGTGTGTATGTGTATGTATGTATATATATATATACACACAGACATACACATGTACATAAAGACACATACATACATAGAGACACAGACAGACACATACACACACATACAGGCACAGACCTACAGAGACACATACATACACAAGACATATACACACGTACATAAAGACACATACATACATAGAGACACAGACAGACACACACAAACATACATACACACAGACAGACACACACACACACATATAGACAGACACATACATACATACAAACAAACACACATATACAAAATGTTTAAGTCACCCTCCTAGTTTTCTACCTTTTAGGTACAGGAGGGTGACTTTCCCTGGGGTCCAGTGGTGGCTCAGGTTGATGGGAGTCAGAGTTCCCACTCTGACTTCCTCCCGCGCGGGCACTGTGTATGCTGGGAGGAGTGACCGGGACAGTCACTTCCTCCCAGCGTGTGATGTCATCAAAGCGGGCCGGTCGCCGCAGCGCTGACCGGGACCCCTGAAAATCCATACCCATCGGGTGGCCCTAACAACATGGGCCACCTGGTAGACCCCTTGGACAGCGGCCTAAGCAGTTTGCCGCTCGGCCGGGGCCTCAATACATAGCTGCAGGCACCTGGTTGCAGGGTTCTGCAGGGTGGCCGGCAAAACTGTGTGGAGGCACAGTTGTAAATTGTTTCAAATTATTGTTTTGTCTGAATATAACTATGTAACTTTGCAGATATAGGTCAACTGAACTACAGTTGTAATTAAAATTATTCAACCCCCCTTAAAACTCAGGTTTGTTGTCAACATTTACAGACGTTAAATTGTTTGTAATGAACAAATCAAACAAAAGCAATTAAAATATCTCAACACAACAAAGGGTAAAAGTGGTTTCTCCAAATTCAACTTGAAATGCAATTTATAAAGACTTCTCTAGTCTGAAAATTATTCAACCCCTTCATGGCAAGCATTTTTTAGTACTTAGTAGAACACCCTTTTGCTGTTATGACCTGCTGCAAACGAGATGCATAGCCAGACACCAGCTTCTGGCAGCGTTCCTGATGAATCTTAGCCCATTCACTCCAGTTTAGTAATATTCTTACGTTTGCATGCTGCAACTGTCTTCTTCCAATCTCACCAGAGATTTTCAGTGGAGTTGAGTCAGGTGACTGTGATAGCCACTGTGGAATTTTCCAGGACTACTTCTGCAACCAAGTCTTGCTGGAATTTGAGGTTTGCTGGGATTAATTGTCTTGTTGGAAGGGCCAATGACCTCAAAGCTTCTGCTTCTGACTGTGATAGCCACTGTGGAATTTTCTAGGACTACTTCTGCAACCAAGTCTTGCTGGAATTTGAGGTTTGCTGGGATTAATTGTCTTGTTGGAAGGGCCAATGACGTCAAAGCTTCTGCTTCCTGACAGATGGCATGACATTGTTTTCTAAGGATTTCCTGATACCGCAATGAATCCATTCTCCATTCCACACACTGCAGGTTTCCAGTGCCAGAGGAAGCAAAGCACCCCCAGAGCATCATCGAGTCACCACCATGCTTAACTGTAGGCAGAGTGTTCTACAGCGTATGCTTCATTATTCTTCCTCCAGACATACCGCTTATCCATTGGGCTGAAATGTTCCAGTTTTTGCTCCACATAACAGAATCCCCAACCTTCTGTGCCTTATTTATATGGCTTGGAGAATACTTGAGCCGACGTTTCTTGTGTTTTTGAATTAGTAGTGGTGTACGTCTTGGAGTTATGGCTTAGAAACCTTCTACATTTAGTATGTGCCTTACTGTTCTCACTGAAACCTTAGTGCCTGTTGCCACAAAGTCTCATTTCATTTTTTTTGCAGTCACTCGAGGGTTTTTCACAACCTGCCTTCTCATAAATCTGGTTGCAGCCATTGCTAGTTTCCTTTCTCTGTCCCGTCCAGGTAGTGTAACCACTGTTCCTTCATCTTTGAACTTGTGAACTATGCTTCCAACGGCACCTCTAGGAGCATTGAGTATTTTTGTATCCTGTCCCTTGTTTGTGAAGGGCGATGATCTCTTCTCTTAACGTTAAGAAATTGACTTAGCCATATTTCTAGCATACAGTCAAAGGTGACACTCAACAAACCCCTAACCAGTTCAGGTATTTCAAGTGTTCTAGCTCAAGCACACTAGGTGCAATTAATTGATTTTCTGCACCAGGTGTGCGTGAGACAACACCTGTTTTGCATATTTGTGCTGTTGGGATGGATTCCATTGAGGGTGTTGAAGAGTTTTGAGATGATAGAAGTCATTTAAGTTGCAGTTTCAGTAGAATTTGGGGAAACCACTTGAAGTATTCATTGTGTTGAGTTATTTCAGTTGCTTTTGTTTTATTCGTTCATTGGAAACAACTGAAAGTCTGTAGATTTTGACAATAAACATGAATTTCAATAGGGGTTGGTTGAATACTTTTGATTACAACTGTAAATTTATACAGATTTGTGGACAATAAATGTACATTCAAAATATTTATACCTTCATACATCCATGTTTCTAACTGATTTTTACCAGAGAAATTAGAATGATAGTTGCATATTCACATCAGTTTACCTATCATCCAAACACATACCAATGGGATTTATTCACTAAACCAAAAAGGATGAGTTGGAGGGTATCAGGATCGTTCACTAAAGTGAGAATTCAAAGTGAATTTTACATTTTAGGCCAGAGTAGCTCAACCGAAAGCATAGCTGACTTATTTTTTTTTCTAGTTTGCTATTCTTACCTTAAATTTGAAATGCACTTTGAATTCACTTTAAATTCTCACCTTAGTAAATAATTTTATAGGTCTATTCAGGGTTTTGTGGCTTAAAATGGCAATTTCCTTGACCCACAATTCCAGATTCATTAAATAAGCTTCATCAAGTGTGGTAGATGAGAAAGCAAAACTCTAGCATAACCTTATTATTTGGTGTTTTGGATGGTTTTGTCTGTGAAATAATTTTTCTTTATATAAGTAGAAATAAAATATTTATGATAAGCTGTTTTTTTTTCCTTTTCAGATGTGATTTACTGCTTTCATTAAATCAGAGCATAAAGATTTTTTTTTTTACATTTTCCTAAGGGTTTATGTCAGCCTTTCAGGTCCGAGCAGTCTTATATAAAATATTATTTTCAAAGTGATGCTAGTAAGTTGGTGATATGTCCTGTTTGGAAAATTTAGAAATGGGAAGCCAAGTGTGAGTTAAAGGTACAAGTTCATTACACTAGAAATGGTTCAATATGCCTCACTGCACATGTTTATAAAATTATTATATTTTATATTATTTATAAAACACCAACATATTCCACAGCACTGTCCATGATTACAATTGATACAAGTAAAAAGATAACGGTATAACACATTTACAAGACAATACAACATTTAGGGCACTATCCTATGGAAACTAACAATATAGACAGATAGGCGGGGTGAGAAAGAGAAGGTGTGGACTGAAAAGGTGAGGGTGATATTAATAAACAGTGAGCTTAATGCACCTATTTGTTAAGTGGGATGTATTAGTTACTGAGTTAAGTGATAAGCTTCTATGTACCAGAATCTTTTAGGAAACACTTAATGAAAGGCAAACTAGAGGAAAGTCTGGCAATGCAGAGATGTTCATTCCAGTGGGTTGGTGCCACACAAGAGAATTCTGCAGTCTACCATGAGGAGAGGTGATAATAGAAGATACAAAGAGCATGTCATCTCATCGTTCTATCTTACAGGCGGGCTGGAGTATATTTTTTATTAGTGAGGGCAGGTAGTGGGGAGTAGCTTTAACAAGGGCTTTATAAGTCAGGATGAGAATTGTGAATTTAATTCTGATGTAAATGAGGAGCCAGTGAAGGAACTTGCATAGAGCCACAGTAGATATGGAGCAATGATTAAGGTTGATTAGCCTGTTAAAGGGATTTAAGATGGTCTGAAGAGGGGAGAGGCAGAAGAGAGGAAGGCCAGTTGGTAGGGAAGTTTCCAAATTTGTTTAGTGGTGTCAGAAATGTTGCGTAGGTGGTTGCAACAGGATGAAGAAAGCAATTGGATGTGGGGGAATGAAGGACAGATCAGTTAGGTGTAACTCAGAAAATGCGCTTAGATTGATGGGGAGATAGTGATTCCTTCAATGATGACAGAGAAATCAGCAATTGGAGTAGAGCCAGAAGGGTATATTAAGTGACAAGAGGACATCCAGAAACATAAACTATCACTGACATGAAAAAGGACAGAAGGAGATAAATCTGGGGTGGAGAAGTAGATCTGAGTAAATTCTTAGAATTTGTTGGTGCATTATAAATAATAATAATAATAATAGGGAGGTGGTGCAGATGGGCAGAGAAGAGTTAAATGTAGAGAAACGTCATTGAGGGTCGGAGGAAAGAGAAGATTCAAGAGAAGAAAAGTTTTTTTTGAATTGAAGGGCAGATTTGTATGAATAGATAATAAGTTTATCATGGCTGAAATCAACTTTAGAGCTAGATTTCCTCAAGGCATGTTCATCAGTGCAGAAGGATTTTTGGAGGTAGCACATTTGCTTAGAGTGCCATGGCTCTAACTGATGGTATAGGGTTTTGCGCTGTTTGTCAGTTTGTCTAGAGTAAAAGAAAGTGGGTTGTTATAGTAGGCTGAAGCAAGCTTAGGAAAGATAATATTGGAAGTGAGAGGGAGAGGATGTTGAATAAGTTTAGAGAATTGAAGAGGATCTACAGCATGCACAGTTCAATGGCTGCAGGGGTAAGATGGAGGAGAAGTGTGTTTAGCTAATACATTGAGATTATAGTAAAGAAAAGAGTGACAGGTGAAAACAGATCTAGAGTAGAGGTAGGAAAATAGCAAACCAAAAGAGTGTCATCATGGTGAGTAGGGAATAGAGTGGATTTAGAGAGCAAAGGAGGATGTGAGTAAAAGCATTAACAATACTGGTAGATTGATTATCATTGGGGATATAGAATTCCCCAAGTATTAGCAACAGTACATGTGGAGGTTACACAGTTGCCAAGGAAATGTGAGTCTTACTGGTTGAAATACAGAATATTCCAATATACTTACTCTTTAGGTGATAGTTTTCTCAGATAA